GGGTTAATTAAATGACAATCCAATAACTGTTCAGCCACTATGGCGCACCGATCCGGTATATTTTTTCCAGATTCGCAGACGAAACTAACGCTAACATAATTATATATAAGAACTTCAGGCAATGAGTTTAGTAGAAAAATGACCCAAACGGAAAAGGATTATATAAATTACATGAAAATCAACGTCACACCAAAAGTTTGAATTAACCAACAGACCAAGATAGCCTTCCAAATCTTCCAAGTGTTGGTCATCTGACCTGAAGCTTGGAGCCAATATAATCGATACGTGTCTAAATTATTTAGGTTTTGTGTCAAAAATATTACCGTTATGACTATGTCGTAACCAGTTTCGAATAAACTGAAATAGTTTCGACCACATATATAATACTAATATAACTTCAATTAGGACGTCTTGAGTTGAACCTTCTATAACTCTATATAGTATAGTTTGGACACTGCGCCACGCTAGATAAATTTGAATTTAACATGTGATTGCGAAATGTAATCAATTATATACACTATATACTGGGCAATACTTATAGTCGGGACATTTTAATACGTTCTTCGTCTGATACTCTGTAGTTTTTTAAAATCACAATGTCTACACAAAATAAAACGTAGGTTTAATTGTCATATGAGAGGATTTCTTCACTTTTCAACAGTTTTTACTAAATCTTAAAAATGAATTGTCATTGTTAGTCGGAAACGTAAATGGGATCTTGATGACCAAGGAAAAGAGGCACCACCCGTTTCCACGGCTTCAAAATCGGCCAAAGTTGATCCTAGTAGTGATGCATCTGAATCTAGTGCGCCCTCACCTACACCTTCAAACTCTGACTCAATAGATCCCAATGTAGCTGCAGGTAGTAAACATCATAATTATAATACTATTTCTAAGATTGGATCTAATATTTATATTATTAATTCTTTTGCATTAATAGCCGTCGCAGCGGCAAAAATCAATGCTATGCTTGCGGCAAAAGGTATTCAGGTTCCAGCAAAGCCGTTAATAATCACACCTAAACTAGATATTTCTGAAAACGGCAGTTCGGAGGTATATTTTAAGTCGCGTTTGTTTTGTCTTGTCATTTAATTAACCCTGTGGTCGTGATTTTTATTTCGTTATCATGACGTAACCTGTAAAGGATTCTAAAGCGTCTAAGAAAGATTCTGATTTGGAATTTACTCATGATATTACAATCAATGATTGCAAAAACAGATATTTGTTGACTAAGGGTGCAACACAACAGCAGGTATAAAATATTTTATTACCAACAATCCTACATTATCTATTTTTTCTTTTACCATATACTAATATGTCTTCTAATTTAATTACAGATTCAAAAAGAAACTGGTGCAGGTGCATCATTGATTTCTAAGATATTCTTAATTGTTTATGACAAATAATCTAAACCGAGACATATATATTATTGACAGATGTAACGACACGAGGAAAGTACTACCCAGACAAGCTTCTTGCTACCGAAAAGGATCCTCCTCTTTATTTACACGTGACTGCATCAACTAAGGAGGCTTTAAATGCTGCTATCAATAAGATTAGTGAGCTCATGGAACAGACTTTTACACCAGCTCCATCGACACCAACACCACGTCCACCAGGACAGCACTTAGGGGTATTTATTAAGTCTTATGCCACTTTAAAATCGAAAATTTCCATTAGAATACTACATTAACTTATGTTTTATAGCGACAGTTTGTTCAATACAAAGTATTTGTGGGAATTGAGCCTGACCGCACGTTTAATGCACGAGCTAAAATCGTTGGCCCACAAGGTGCTTATGTAAAGCATATTCAACAAGAGACGGGTGCAAAGGTTCAGCTTAAAGGTCGAGGATCGGGTTATGTTGAACCCACTTCGGGGACCGAGGCTTTTGAACCACTTCATATTCATATTACGTATGTTTTAGACCGATTGATACGATATTAACAAATAGATACAGATTCGAACTAATTATTTATCATAGTTGTTGGAGTCAAGAAGGACTGGACAGGGCAAAAAAATTATGTGAAGACCTTATTAACACGGTAAAAATAGAATGGGATAAACACAAAGCACAACAGGCGGCATATTCTTCGTATGGCAGGTCACCGTATCCACGTCCACCTGTTTATGGACAACCAGGGTTACCGCCCTCTGGGGTATGAATTCTTTAATATACAAATTATTTTTATTTTTAATTTTTTTTTTATTTTTAATATTTTATTAATATAATTCGTATTACAGACTTACCCTCCTCCACCTGCAAATCCTCCATTACCTAGTGGTCCCCCGCCACCACTTGGAAATCCTCCACCTCCACCTCCACTTCCAACTACTTCAACTGCAACATCACAACCTCCACTTCCCAATTATCCCCCACCACCACCGCCGTCTTCAACAACAGCAGCTACAACAACTACAGCCGTAACAGCTGCAACAGTTGCAACAGCTACAACAGCTGCAACAGCTGCAACAGCTACAACAGCTACAACGACAAGTTCTTCGCCTACTAGTACCTCTAGTCAATATAATGCTAGCACTACTAGTAATGCTTACACTGCCGGTAGCCAAAACGCTGCGACAGCTACTGCTTGGAATCCTTATAACCCTTACAATCAATCTCGATATTATCCATATTCTCAATATCCTTACTATCAGCAAACTGCTGCACAAGCAGTCGATGCTAGTTATTATTATGGATATGCTGGATATCAAACTGCAGCTAATTATCAAACCGCAGGGTATCAAGTGCCAGCTACGCAGGCTCCGACAGCTCCATCAGCGTCAACAACTCCCAGCACTACAACCTCACCTCCAACGTCGCCATATGAAGATAAAAAGCAAGGTAGCTCTTATCACGCAGTTCCACCTCCGGATTCTTATGAAAGCGAGGTTGGTAAATAACGCAAAATACGAGCATGCGAATTTTATTTTGATATTACAGTATTATTATTGGTGTGGTGGTTGTGTTGGTCTTTATAGGAATTAAACAAAACAGGCAAGACAATAAAAAGTATCAATTTATGAACAAATTTCGCGATAAAATAAGTGCGCATTGCGCACTCTACTTACAAATTAAGTTTTTTTCTCTCTTTTAGAGTTGAAATTACCGATACAGTCTTTTTTTTTTTGTTTCTTGTTCTTTGGCAATAAACAAAGAATAAGAAAACTGGGCTGGTTTGTTACATCTTTGGAAATATATCGTATACATTTTTATTTTCTATTCATTGTTATAAATGAACGATACGTTTTAAAACTAAACAATTTAGCTTGTTCTATTGAAGCTTAAAAAAAAAAATTTTCACAAAAAAAAAAAAAAAACCACCAAACAATAATATTAAAACAGATCAAAAACGATATCGATTTTATGGGCATAAAATTTCCTATTTGTAGTGTAATTTTATTCAATTTTATCCCATGATCGCAGGCTAGTTATTAATTATTAGTTAAAAAGTTGTTGAATTGTAAAATACAGAGAATAAAAAGACGTATGAATAATTGTATTATCAACTTTTTTCCTTTTACAAGTGAAAAACCGACAAACTCGAACTTATTTGTAATCCATATTATTTAAATAGTGTCCTTTCCCTTCACGTGGGGTAAGTGAATTCAAAGGCACGACAAAATTAATCGAGTGATCGGATACGGTATATATCCCAATGATGATCTTAAATGTTTACATTTATAGCTATTTGTTTATTTGAAAACATTTACTGTGCTTTTTTAACAATAGCTTTTTATTGAAGAAGGTTTATTGATGAGGCTTATAAACGGGTTTGATATTACCAAAATTTTAATAAAATTATGCGGTTTATGTTGAGTTACAAAGATGAATAATAAAGGTTATATTTATTTTCATTATTGTGGTACATTTTAGCTAAGAAATAGATTTTTGATCCAGTAGACATATATAAATTAATAGGCACTCAAATGAGGTTTGAGTATCAAGAAATTGTAATAGCATGATTTTTAAATGAGCACTATTGATATTATTGATATAATTCTTGTTCATAAGGCTTGCCAAATAAATAATTCCAACTTGCCGGTGTTTTCCAAAATTCTGTTATAGAAATTTCTAGAATAATAAGATATTAATTATTAATTTAATTATAATTAACTATTTAAAATAATGATTGTCACAACTAATGCTATAAATCATACTAAAATCCACATGTACTATCGCTATCTTACTAACTTTAACCCTAAATCATAACCTAACCAAAAGAACTAAAAAAATGGCTCCCAAAATTTAAATTTTCATATTAAAATAGATTAAAATTTCATCAGCCGTGACAATCATAAACCATTAAACATATTAATTAACATATAATATCATAAATCAATGAAGTATATATTACCTTGTTGTTGAGGAAGCAAGTTTAATAAAGAGTTTGTGTAATTTGCAAGCAAGAAGGCATCCTGTGTGTTGTCTTGAGAATAATAATTAATTGTTAGAAAACAGGTTTAAATATAATAAATAAACTCGTTATTACCTCCTTCTATCGCAAAAAATATAATCATGATCAATGGTATTTTTTCTTGTTGACTTTTGTGAAATAGGAATCTAGATACACCACTACCAGGAATCTTTGGCAAATCGTCTTGTTTTAAATCATAGTCATTATTTGAAGTTTTTTCCAAAGTTTTTAAACCAAGAGTTGTTGCTCGCTCAAAGAGATCATTTGGCAATGATGGGGTAGTAAGAATTCGAAGTGGTAGGCTTTAATTAAAGTAATCAAATGTCAGAACTGAATTGACATAATCAAAACCAAAAAATGGCGTACAAACCCTGTAAGTTGAATATCCGTTCTCCTAGTAGCATCAGCACTTGATAATAAAACTACTTTTGAAAATTGGGATTGCTTTATAAAAGCTAATAAATTTTCAGCGAAAATTCGCCATCTTTTCTGAAAGATTGAAGTTCCAATTTAATGATATTAAAACTAATCAATAAAAAAAAAGGTGAAATGATTACCTTGATTACTGGAGCTCTTTGTTGGATAACCGTCCATTTATTATCATCAGATTGGTGAACTATTTTAGCATAAATAAAGAGTCATGTAATTTAATATTGATGTATAATTAAATAGTTCAATTCGAAAATTAAAAATTCGATCCTTGCCTTCGATAGCGACGGTAATGCCTCTTGTTAGATGCTCATTAAAACCAACCACCGGAATAACATTTTCATCTTCCAGAAAACCAATTCGTTGCAAATTTAAAGTAGTAATTAAAAGATCAACTGTAAGTTGAGGAACGTTCCCAATGGAAATAGCAGGCTTATTTTTATAAGTAAAAATATTAAGAGCACTGTCACATAACATAAAATATTACATTAAAATAAAGAAGCCTAACCAGAATGAGAGTACTCCCGCTAAGATTATACGAATTTTCACGTTCTTTCACTGGAATAAATTTCATTTTCATTTTCAACACGTTCACGTCACGTTAAAAGAACTTTGGACGTACAAGATGTCAATAATATCGATATGACAATGCATGATCTGCGAGTGATCCGCATTGCAGTTTTCGTGTAACGAAGATTTTACGTTATAAATTGCCGTTTTATAAAAACATTAGATCTTTAACGACCAAGT